TGTCTTTGAATTCTGATATTTTTAATGGTAGAGAAAATGAATAGATAAATTAAGGTATGAAAGGCAGTAAAGATTACTTATTTTGAGGACATTTACCCCAAGGGCAAATAGAATGGGCAGGCTAGAACATTACTCTTTATAACCATTGCTTTACCTTTTAAATATTGCTGGGAGCCAGGAGCTGGTATCATCATTTTCTGTGCATTCTCAAGAGATTATTGGTGGACACGTGGTACACATCCCATACCCAAGTCACTACCTGCTTATTCCCTACACCATAAGCTGTAGGAAATAAGCAACTGAAATACCTATAGGGCAAGAAGGTAAAATGAACAGATGAACTGGGCCAGGAAGTCAAGGAGTCTGTGGTCAGCTGGAGAAAGCATGTCCAGCTGAAAGGGCTTTAAATTAAAAATGGAAAAAAATATAGAGAGGTTAGGGGGAGAAAGAAGGAAAAATGCATTGTGCAATCCAACAAAACAGGTCCTGGTTTCAGCCAGTTTCAGGTGCCTGGATAAGTCTTATGGGCTGCCACTGCCAGCCACCTTATTTATCAGTGGAACCTGTTAGGTATCAAATAAATAAATAAGCCAAATCATCATCATGATAAAATAGCTATCATCTATTTAGTGCTAATGACTGTTTTGGATGATTTTCAGACTAATTACTGTTTCTTATCCAAATTACTGTTTTGGATGATTTTTCTAATTTAATTTTTCCTATAACCCTATCGGGTAGATATTATTTCTATTTTACTAGTGAAAACCTGAGGCCCAGAGAGCAAGTATATTTGCTCAGTCTTTTTGGTCTCTGCACCCTTTACCCCTTTAAAAATTATTGAGGACCCCAAAGCGCTTTTGTTCATGTGCATCTCTACTGATATGCATACTCTTAGAAATTAAAGCAGAAAAATGTTAAATATTCACTTATTTGTTCTTTTAACAGTAATAATAAACCTATTACCTGTTAGCAAAAATCATATATATTTTTGAAAAATTATTATACTTACCAAAGAATTAAGGGCATTACTTTCGTAAATCTCTTTAATGACTGGGTTAGTAGAAGACAGCAGGATTCTCTTATTTGCTTCTATGTTCATTCCGTTGTGATACCACATATCATGTAACCTCTGGAAAACTCCACTGTGTATTCACAAGAAAATGAGTGTGGAAAAAGGCAAATAATAATAGTATTATTAAGGGACAGAAAGAATAATTATGATTTGTAATAATGAATATGCTAATATTGTTGTACACAGGTGATGGTAGTCAACAGTGTACCCCTAAAATATGTACAATCAATTTTTTAAAAAAAAGAAGAATATAGTTTTGACCTGATAGACCCCTGAAAGGGTCTTGAGGGCTCCCAGGGGCCAGAGACAACATTTTGAAACTGCTGTGTTAGCCAGTCTCCCTGTCTCTTATGTAACTTCACATTTGGTAAAGAGGGAACTTGGGCTACTCCACCTGACTTCCTTTATGACGCTGACTGGTTTCCTATACCAATTCCCACTGCTTTGGAATGGTTTCCATATGGCACATTTCAGAGCCTTGTCAGTGATCCACGCCTGACATTTCAGAGGGGGCAGATTTGGCAAATGATGATTTTAAACAATTTAACTTTAAAATGTTTAACAATTGCTTGTGAGCTGCACATACGTTCCTCTAGCAGCCAGAACTTAGCACTTTGTGAACAAGAACAAAGCAGGAAATGACCACATGCTGTGTTTTGAACAGTATCCATCTAAGAGACATTTCATGAAATACAAAAAGGATTAGAAGACTCAGTCTGGGATGCTAGCCTCGGACACCAAATATGTGCATGAGCCCGTAACTTACATGATTCTACCCCTCTTTTATGTCGTTGTTTAGTTTATTTATTAGCTTTTTGTTTTTCTGTTATTTTTTTTTCCTAAGGCACTTCCTAAAACTCTCTTTTACTAAGCAGAGAAATCAGTGCCCTGCATGTGAAGACAGTTTGCCAGATTCCACACAACAAAGTACTTTTAGCCTCTTGTCCATCCCCCAAACAACCCACCTACACACACACACACACACACACACACACACACACACACACACACACACTCTCTCTCTCTCTCTCTCTCTCTCTCTCTCTCTCTCTCTCTCCCCACTCCCCCAATCGTCCCTCAGCAGCTCCCTTTCCCCTGCCACAAGACTCTCGGACTCAAAACCTATGCTTTGGAAAAGGTTTTGTTCTACTTTAAGTCATCATCAGTGCTTTGCCCTCTGAACTCAGTATCGGTTTGTTTGGAGGCCATGGTGTTCTTCATGCTTTTGCAAACAGAATTACAGAAGATGCCTCCTGGCAAAGCAGCCAAGCTACAGTGTCTTTATGATGTCAGGAAAAAAGGTTTAGTTGAGCCACGGATGCAACAGGTCAGGAATATCTGCAGAAACTCAACCCTCCTGACCACTTCCTCTCCCAGCAAATCTCCCTGTGACATTTGCAATGACTGCTTCAGTCTCCGCTTTTAACCCTACTTTCCTTTTTCTGAAGATGTGGGAGAAGGCAATCAAACTGAGCAAGGAGCTGGCTGAGACTTACGAGAGCAAAGTGTTTGACTACGAGGGCCTTGGCAATCTCCTGGTGAGTCTGGGTCAGAGCATGCTGAGTCTCCAATGGGTTGCTAAAATTAGTGCTTGTGGAAACTTTTTCCTAAGTTGAAGAAAGCCAGGATAAATGGTGTTCTTTACCATGAAAAAGTAAACCTTGCTTGAAATAAAAACGAAAAAAGATGTGATCCAAAAGCTTTGATCGTTGTTCTCCGGATTCTCCTTCACAGAAGGCTCAGAACTGTGGAGTGGGATGTTGGGTCGCAGATGGTAGTGACTTGGTGTGGCTTCCCTTAATGCACCATGTACCCCAGTCTGCAGCTCTCTCTCCCTTCCTGGTCTATTTGTTTTTCTACAGACCCCCCCCCCCCCGCCCTCCATCTCCTCTTTCCCACCTTCTGTTGACACAGTGCATATTTCAGACACCTTCTGTATCCAAAATGACTTGTTCTGTGTTCTGCATCCTCCAGGCCCTGCTACATGGGTGCACTGCTAATCTTTGAGGCTCGTATAAATCCATTTTTGTGTTGCTGTAACAGAATATCTGAGACTGGGCAATTTATAAAGAACAGAGGTTTATTTGGCTCATGATTCTGGGACAGCTGCATCTGGCACGGGCCTCAGGCTGCTTCTACTCATGGTGGAAAGCAGCAGGCAGCCAGCGGGTACAACCAGATCACATGGCGAGAGGAAGCGAGAGAGAGAGAGAGAGAGAGAGGAGGTGCCAGGGTCCTTTAAACAACCAGCTCTCAGGGGAACTAATAGAGCGAGAACTCACTCACTACCCCCTCCCCAGGGTATTAATCTATTCATGAAGGACCCGCCCCCATGCCCCAAACTACTCCCAACACTGCCAAGTTGGGGACCAGATTTTGACCTGAGCTTTGGGAGGAAAACACATCCACACTCTATCAAGGCTAATTTTATTTCCCCAAGAGCTCCACTGTGTACATCTTGGTAAGTTGTAAAATACCTCTGCCAGATCTTGATTCTCTTTGCCTTCTCCCGCATGTCACTGGGTTGCTCAACTCTTACAGTTCCCTGAACATGAGTATTACACCAAACTGTAGGCATGGTCCAACTCTTTAAAAACAATAAATCAAAACAAAAATAGCCTTCAAAATGCCCAGTGGTAGGCCAACACAGTATTGCATTTGATAATTTTTGTAAAGGTGTCACAAATGTCAGGTCACCCATTACCATGGAGTGATCATTTATTTGAGGAGCTGTTTGTCAAGATCACTGTGTAACAAATTTACCAATGTATTATACCAGCTCCAGCCATCACACACAAAAATTCACGCATGAATTTCATCAACTGAATTGAGCTATTAGCCGTGTAACATGTTACCCATCTAAGAAAACATTATTCTGACAGAGACCTTCACCGGGGTGCAATAGTAATACCAGCGTGCTAACTATTGTCATGGAGGAGGCTGGGGACATCTCTTAAAGCCCCCCAGGTCTGAGTGCCTATTTTGCTTTCTTCAAGGCTGACTCTGAGCCTAGCTGAAGCCAGCCCCCTTGTGGAGAATTAAAGAGAGGGGTGGTGCCAGATATTGAAAAACAGAACATCACCACTACCTTCTGGCCTGTTGTAGCTATCCAAGAACTATAATCCAAACCATCACACAAACTGGAAACTTCTTTATCTTCTCTGTGCATTTCTGGTTAAGTGCAGCCACCTTCTGTGAATCTCAGAAAGTGCTGCTTTACCTCTCAGGGGTCCTGAACCCGCTAGGAGGACTTTACAAAAGCCCTGCACCTCCCTACCCAGAAGGATGCACACACTTCTGCACACAACCTCAGGGACTCACAGCCCTCCTAGGCCCACTCATGACCCCAGGCCCAAAACCTCTGACCCGAAAGAAGGGGGACCATTCTGCCCACAGGATGTTTTCCAAAGACCTTTAATTTCTCTGTGTTACATGGGAAACAACAAAGCAAACAGTCCGATGTTTTCTTTTTTTTCCTCCCAACAGTATCCTTATAACCAGAAAAGGGGGACCATTCTGCCCACAGGATGTTTTCCAAAGACCTTTAATTTCTCTGTGTTACATGAGAAACAACAAAGCAAACAGTCCGATGTTTTCTTTTTTTTCCTCCCAACAGTATCCTTATAACCTCCCTCTGGAATGTTCTGTTTCGTTTTCCAGAAAAAAAGAGCCTCATTTTATGAGAACATCATTAAGGCAATGAGGCCTCAGCCTGAATACTTTGCTGTCGGATACTACGGACAGGGCTTTCCTTCTTTCCTACGGGTAAGAAACCTGAGGGTGGTCTCCAAAGCCGTGAGGCCGTGGGGTCTTAAGGAGGGAATATCTTATTTCTTTTCCAGATGGGCATGTTAGCAGCTGCCACCTGTGTTCTCACGGTGGGAGGCCGGGAGGGAAGCCACTTCCTGAGAGGCTGGCCTCCTCACCCCACACCCGCACACCCCTGGTATTCTGGCAGACCTCTTGTAAAATGACTTTCCCCAGGTGGAGTGCAAAAGGGAGAAACAGCCATCCCCCGCACTGGTCTGCTGCTATGGGCCAGACTGGGGAAAAGAGTGGACTGGTGTATTTCATGTCTTTTATTTCCAGCCAGAGCTAGATTGGAAGCAAGTTTCCCAAGAACAAGACTACAAGAGTTTCCCAAAAGTTAAAACAGTTTTGTTGCAGTAGTGACCAGGATGTATTTTACTTCCTTCTGAAAATTGTCTATAGTGTGATATTGATTTTGCAAGTTAAAAAGAAACAAAAATTCTTATTATCTGCTAGAAAAAGGATACGTCTTTTAGAGCCAAGCTTTATTTAAACATAATCTTTCTTCTATCCCCTAATAAAAAAGAAAAAGTGATCAAAGGAAGCAATTTCCATTCCTAACAGTGCCTAACAAGGAAGCAGGTTATTTGTCCACTCAATAAATATTTAGTGTGTGCTCTGGGGTAGGCACACAGGAGGCGTTTGAAATGCCTGTTGATGACAATCACACACAGTCCCACCCTCACAGGTTTTACAACCTAATGAGGGAGATGTTAAATAATCACACAATGAATGTAAAATTGAAACTGTAACCACGAAAGGTATCCTGTGCTATAAATCTAACCAGAGAGTATTTACCCAAGTGAAATAAAAACCTTCCTTTTCACGAAAACTATATAGAAATGGTTATAGCAGCTTGAATCATAATCACCAAGGACTGGATCCAACCCACATGTCCCTCACCTGGTGAAGGGATAAACAAACCAAAGTATAGCCATGCATCACTTCACAACAGGGCCACCTTCTGAGAAATGCATCTGCAGGAGATTTGGTCATCATGCAAACATCACGCATGCACTTGCACAGACCTAGATGGTATAGCCTACTGCACACCGAGGCTATGCGGCCCAGCCTGTTTCTCCTCCAAGAGTAAGGCATTGCGCTGCAACTTTACAGTGGCTGAGAGGTCACTAGGCGGTAGGAATTTTCCGGCTCCATTATAATCTTATTGGACCACCGTGCTATAGATGGTCTGTTGTGACCGACACATCACTGTGCAGTGTGCGACTGTATATCCACACAATAGAATACTACTCAGTAATAAAAAGGAATGAGCTTCTCATACAACCATGTGGATGAATCTCTAGTGCATTATGCTGGGTGGAAGAAGATAGACTTAAAAAGCTACATACTCTAAGATTTTATTTATTTGACATTCTTGCCAAGGCACCACTTCCTATTAGGACAGAAAATAGATGGGTGGTTGCCTTGTGGTTGGGGGGAGGCTGGGCTACAAAAGGCCATGTAGAAAATTTTGGTGGTGATGAAATTGTTCTGTATCTTGATTGTGGTTGTGATCACATTTGTCAAAACTCAGAATTTTACATTAAAAAGTGTCCATTTTACTGTATGTAAATTATGACTTAGTTTTTTTACATGAGTCAAAAGACTGCCCAGGGAGTTTGTTTCAGCCACAATCTGAAAGGAGAGCTTGGAGTTTAGGTAAAGGGCATAGGAAAAAGCATGCCAGGCGAGAGCGTGGTGATGTCTAGGAGTGAAGGAAGACCAGTGCACCAAGCACACAGAGAGCTGGGGGCTGGGGAGGGGAGGCAGGGAGTGTGGGAAGAGTATGCAGGCCCTGGGTTATAAAGGTGTTTTGTCTGCATCCTGAGAGCAGTAGGAAGCCATTGCAGATTATTCGTGCTGGAGAGGTCATCTGTCATTGGTATGGAGAATGGGTGGGAGGTGTGTGTAGATAAGGCACTAGGAGACCATTGCAGATGTTCAGGCAAGACATGGCAGGTGGACCAGGGAGGTGGTAGTGGTGGCTTTAGAGAGAAGTGGAAACGTTGGACTGGTAGAGATGAAATAACAGGATTTGATGAGTGATGGACTATGGTGTGGGTGAGAAAGAGGGAGGGTCAAGATTGATTCCTAGCTTCCTGGCCTGCATAATTGGAAGAATAATGGAGCCAGTCACTAGGGCAGCAGGACTGGAAAAAAAATAGAGTCATGGAGGAGAGAATCCATTCATTGTATCAATGAACTTGTACTGTGTACATTGCTCTGCTATAGGCATGGGGGTAGAGTCCAAAACAAACCAAAATCCTTGAAATTGTGGAACTTATATTCCAGCATGGAGAGACCAAAAAATAAGATAAATCAGTAAAATATTTAGGACATCAGATGGCCTAGAACATTCCACATACATTGCAGGCACTTGATAAGTATCATGGAAAAAATGAATCAGGGAAGGTGAACAGAGAGGCAGGTGTTGGGAGTGCAGTTGCCATTTTAAGCAGAGTGAACAGGAAAGAATTCAGTATAAAAATGAAACTTGAGCAAAAACCTGAAAGAATAAACCATGCAGCTACTGGGAGGACCAGGAGCAAGGGTCCCCGACGGTGAGAACAGCAGACTCCGAGCCGGGGGCTGGGGGAGCAGAACAGGGTCGGACAGCTGTGGGTACCACTGCACAGGCCTCTCAAATCTTTGTAGGTCGTTTATAAAGTTTGGTTTTGGACATACTCAATGCGAGATAAATTGGGAACATCCAAAAGATGTGAGTCAACCATTTATTATATGGATCTGGACTCAAAGGAAAGTTCTAGGCGAGAGATAAAAGTTAGTAAGTTGTTTACATGTTCTTAAAACTGTGGTTGTGGCTGAGATGGGCTGGGAGAGACAACACAACAAAGAGTAGAGGTCTGGGATGGGGCCTTGCAGCAGGATCCAGTCCTAGCTGTGCTGTTAGCCCAGTTTGTATGAAATAATCAATGTGATCCAGGAGACAGCAGTGGTTCAGGGACAGCACGACCAGCAGACTTTCAAGTAGAAAGCTGTAGTGTCACCTCTGGAGTGACTGATTTGAAAAAAATTACCACCGAATCTTGGTTTTCTGATCCTTAAGTGCCTACATCACAGAGCGGTTTTGAGAATTAAATAGCCCATAGGAGTGCTTTGTAAACTTTAAAGTAGTTTGTAGATGTTAACATGTTGTCCAAGTGTACTGAAGAATATATAATCCTTAGGAATGATATAACCTAAATGCCTGTCCATATTATGGAGTGTTCCCCCAAACTCACAAAACATAAAATTATATCGTCCTTTTCCCCCCAGCCCAGCCAGGCCCCTTTCTCTTCTCTGTTTCTGTCTATGGCACTGTGTTCTTCCTGCTCCAAGACAAGTAATTTTCTTTCTTTTTTTTTTTTTTTCCTTTTTCTGTCTTTTTTTACTGACCGGTAACGGGATCGCAACCCTCAGTGTTGTGCCCGTACCGGGGACCGGCAACGGGATCGCAACCCTCGGTGTTGCACCCGCACCGCGCTCAGCCAGTGAGCGGGAACCAGTCTCCACATGGGAGCCGCCCTCGGCGGGAGCGCCACCGCGCTCCCAAGCAGCGCACTCTCCAGTGCACCCCTGGGCCGGCCCAAGACAAGTAATTTTCAAATCGTTGACTCCCCGTCAGATTAGGTCGTCTACATGACTGCTTTCAGCACCTTCCTCCCTCCTTCTAGAGCCTCCACTGAATTCTCTCAGCCTTTGAAACCTCTGCCTGCCTGTCAAGGCCTTTCATATCTGGGCTCATTCTACCAGTCCCAGCTCGTTTCTCCTGCCTGGACTCCGTACTCTCTGTCCCTTACCCCGCCTGGTTGTCCTCGCCCCCGCTTGTTCATGTGAGCCCAGCCAAGGCCCTTGTCTCCCCTGCCACCTTCTCTTGCCAGTCAAGCTCGTTCTTCCTGACCTTCTGTGTCTCCAGTTCCTTTCACAGCTGCTGTCTGCATCACACAACTAGCGTTTCGTTATACTCTGATCCCTTTCCCACCACTGCTTTGTCTGAATGATGGAATTTCGTAATGCGTGAACCAAAATGGTATCATGTATTCCAAAAGATCTGGCTGTTTTTACTGCCTTCATTCGGTGTTCAGCCTAGAAAGGTGTATTGACTTATACAATCTAAAATGATCATGTTTACTTATTTACTTACTTGGTGTATTAGTCCATTTCTGTTGCTCATAACAAAATACCTGAAACTGGGTGATTTATAAAGAAAGTGAAATTTATTGCTTACAGTTCCTGAGACTGGGAAATCCAAAGTCAAGGGAACATAGCTGGCGAAGACGTTGGTGGTGGCAACAGTGATGGCAGGGTATCGCCTGCTCATTCAGTCTCCTTTAAAAGTCCTCAGAACCACGCCCCTGGCCACCATTTTTAATGCATTCATTAAATCACGGTCCTACAATCTAATCACCTCTTCAAGGCTCCACTTTCAATTACCGTAATTGGATTTCCCACCCTCCTAA